GCCATATTCACTGTGCGTAGTACTCTGTGACAGATCTGATTATTCTTTGCTTTTGAAAACTATTGCTGTGTCTGTCTTGGTCATCATTGTGTGTCCTCACAACATCTTGCGTTTAAAGCAATTCATATCTTGAATCCAGCAGGCAGCTGGAGCAGATCAGTGATGGGCGCGGTCCAGGTTCTGCTTGTGTCTGGGCCTCAGCACGTTTAGCCACGTTCGTGGTGTAAAACACGTCATAACTTTGCATCAAACATCCTCTAACACACCCGGTTTGTTAGACTTCTCTTACTTTTGTTTCCTTTGTAAAGATGTTGAAGCACTTTTTGACTACCAGCGATTACTGATAATAACTGTCTTCAGACTTTTCACAGTTCGGTGTGTGCGTCTGTGTGAACCAGAGTGTGGCACCATGTAATTGGTTATCACAGAGCCTGTCAGTGTAATGTTTATCACAGTTTGTGTCAGTAAGTGTCAATGTGTATATAACACACTAGGTCAGTATATATATGTGTGTGTGCCAATAGCTTTGTATCACAGTGTGAGTATGACAGTGGGGGTAAGTCTGTGTGTCTGTGTATCACAGCATTTTGTGGTCAATATATGTGTCAATGCTATCAATGTTTATGTATCTCAGTCTGTGAGTCTCAGTGTATGAGTGCACCTGGGGTTGCAATGAGACAGTAAATGGAGTTGACACTGAGCTGCTCAGTGGATTAGCATAACAGTGTAATGGCACAGCCAGAGAGAGGGGTAGGTATTCCTCAATAAGCAAAGACAGACCAGCTGTAAGTGTCCACTACTCTGCTGACTGGAGCAGTGCCTGCAGGAAGAATAGACACCAGCCAGCACAAACAAATAGACTTCTGTCATACTGAGAATCACCTGCCTTCATCACACTGATGGAGCGGCACATCTCAGTGAAAGTGTGCAAACACACAGTGAGAGTATGATGCAGTATAGAGAGAACGTGGCATGGCACAGTGAGAGTATGGCACAGCACAGTGACAGTGTGGCACAGCAGCACTGTGAGGGTACGACACAGCACAGTGACAGTGTGGCACAGCAGCACTGTGAG